TTGTGGTTACATTCCAGGCTGCCCCCCGATGAGGTAAGGCAGACAAAGGGACATCCTATGTTGGCTGTTACCCGTTGTCCAGCTGTTAATTATATCTTGGTCGTGGCTCAGCAGATAACAGGTACTGCCTGGAGTCTGAAAAATCATGGGTTCTCGTCCTACCTCAGGCCCTGGTTCAGACTGACTATTCCATGCATGAAGTAGAGCAAGGAAACATTTCCAGAATCTTGTTTTTATCTATTTCTTCACTTATTTATTCCTTAAACTCATTGTGAACATTTTTATTCATGGGAGCTTGCTGTACCCAAATAAACCGCCTCATTACTATGATGGCTACACTTTTTTTTTTTGCAAAAGAACTGCAATTAAGACTGAGAGAGATCCTTAATCAATAGGGGAATCAAGGGTAATGGGAAAATGGAGGAAAGTGAACCTAAGGAATTCCGGATCAGCAGGCTTGAGGGGCTGAATGGTCTACTCCTGCTCTTATTTCATGCGGATTGGTGTACTGTACTTTGGAATGTTCTGAAGTCCTGAAATATGGAACACAAGATGGTTCTTTTTAAACTTTGGAACAAAATTTTATATTTTTAACCCATTTTTCATTGTTGTAAGGATTGCTACATTGTGGACCAAGGTGGAATTAAAATCTTTGTATGGAAAGGGAAAAGGTCCACTAAACAGGAGCGTCAGTCATCTCTGAGCAGAGCACTGGTGAGTATTGCACATCCTGTACCTTCCCACTAGTATGAGGCATTCAATGCCTTTAAGATTTCAAGACTTCTGGCTTTAAGAATACATTTCTATGGCACAGAATATAGCGGCACCTTTGCATGTTGTAGCTGAGTTGAAATATTGGCAGTGGATTGTAAAGGACTGATTTTAATGTCTCGATTGGGATACCAGAGGGGCTAGCAATGAAATGGTTAATTGCTTGGAGTGTTTAATTGTTGGTATTCTTCAAAACCAACAACTGAAAAGCCATCAGTGTCGAAGATTTAATAACAATATGCTCCATTCTCAGTGTTGCTGGGATTTATTGTTTGTTCTTTGTTACCCCTCAGGAGCTAGTGGGGAGCTGTTTTCTGGAGTCCCTGCAATCCCTGATGGTCCCATAGAGCCTTTTCCATTTCCTGTTCTGCTTTATGAACAGTAGCCTTTAATTCTGAACGGTGAACAGTGTTAAGGAGGTAAATGTATAAACAAGGATGGTCAGGAAAAGTCGCTCTGATCCATTCAACTGGTCCCCCACAATTATGATCACAGTGTGTCCACCCTTGTCCACATCCAAACACTATCTTTGTGCAGTGAGTGCTGACCACTGTGGATTTAAGACTAACCTTAAGGCAATGCTCAGTGTGTGCCTAGTTTATAAAGATATTCTAGTGCATTCAAGTAAATATATTCGCCTCTTCTGCAGTACCATGTGCAGTTCTGGTTGCTCAGTTATAGGAAAGATATTATTAAATTGGAGAGGGTTCATAATAGATTTACCAGAGTGTTGCTGGGTATGGAAGGTTTGAGTTATAAAGAAAGGCTGGATAGGCTGGGACTTTTTTCACTGGAGCGTAGGAGGTTGTGAGGTGACTTGAGAGAAGTTTATTAATCATGTGGACTATAGATAGCGTTAATGGGAGATTTCAAGACTAGGGGGCGCATTTTTTAAGGTGAGAGGAGACATTTTTAAAAAGACATGAGGGGCAAATTTTTTAGATGGTGGTTTGTGTGTGTAATGAACTTCCTGAAGAAGTGGTGGATGTGGGTACAATTACAACATTTAAAAGACATTTGGATAAGCACATGAATAGGCAAGGTTTGGAGGGATATGGGCCAGGAGCAGGCAGGTGGGACAAGTTTAGTTTGGGATCATGTTTGGCATGACTGGTTGGGCCAAAGGGTCTGTTTCCATGCTGTATGACTCTATGGTAGGTATTTTCTTCAGCAGGAAATGAATGAATGAATAAATCTTGGCTTTCAGAACCAAGGGATTGGTATGGATCAATTAATGGGTCCTCTTCAAATTGGCAGGCAGTAACTAATGGGGTGCCACAGGGATTGGTGCTGGGACCCCAGCTATTCACAATATATATTAATGATTTGGATGAGGGAACAAAATGTAACATCTCCAAGTTTGCAGATGATACCGAGTTGGGTGGAAGGGTGAACTGTGACGAGGATACAGAGATCCTTCAGCATGATCTCGACAGGTTGGGTAATTGAGCAAATCAATGGCAGGTGCAGTACAATTTGGATAAATGTGAGGTTATTCACTTTGGAAGCGAAAACAAGAAGGCAGGTTACTACCTGAAAGGCTGTAAATTGGGAGAGGGGAGTGTGCAGTGGGACCTGGGTGTCCTTGTGCACCAGTCGCTGAAGGTAAGCATGTAGGTGCAGCAGGTGGTAAAGAAGGCAAATGGTATGTTGGCTTTCATTGTGAGAGGTTTTGAGTACAGGAGCAGGAATGTGTTGTTGCAGTTATACAGGGCCTTGGTGAGGCCACACCTAGAATATTGTGTACAGTTTTAGTCTCCTTTTCTGAGGAAGGATGCTCTTGCTCTCGGGGGAATGCAGCGAAGGTTTACCAGGCTGATTCCAGGGATGGTGGGTCTGATGCATGAGGAGAGATTGACTAGGTTGGGATCGTTTTCGCTGGAGTTCAGATGAATGAGGGGACATCCACAGACACTTAAAATTCTAACAAGACTAGGCAGGGTAGATGCAGGGAGGATATTACCAATGGTGGGTGTGTCCAGAACCAGGGATCACAACATGAGGATTCAGGGTAGACCATTTAGGACGGCGATGAGGAGACATTTCTTCACCCAAAGAGTGGTGAGCCTGTGGAATTTGTTACCACAGGAAGTAGTTGATGCCAAAACATTGAATGTGTTCAAGAGGTGACTAGATACAGCATTTGGGTGAATGGGATCAAAGGTTATGGGGAGAAAGCAGAATTAGGCTATTGAGTTGGATGATCAGCCATGATCGTGAAAATGGCGGAGCAGGCTCAAAGGGCCGAATGGCCTCCTCCTATACTCTGTGTACAGCGATCCCTTGGGACTGTTCGAGGGACAGTTGGAGAGTTGACCCTCCCAATACTCTTCCCTCAACCAACATCAGATAATGATTGGGTACATGGATTTTTAAAAAATTTATTCTCTGGCTGTTTATGGGAATCAATGTTTCCTACATAACACCATGTAAAGTGTTTAATCGTCTGTTAGTACTTATTGGGAATGTCTTAGTGTAAGTTAAGCCTTTATGGAAGGGCTGAGCTGCCTGTAAACAATTAGAATGCTCTTTTCTCAGGATTTCATGAAAGCTAAAGGCTACCCTGAGTCTGTAAACATCGAGATGGAGAATGATGGTGCGGAGTCTGCTGTATTCAGGCAGCTCTTCCTCAAGTGGACAACAAAGTATCAAACCGTTGGCATGGGCAAAACTCACAGTGTTGGCAAAATTGGTACGAACCTGGGTCAGGGGGTGGGGGTCAGTGTGGGAGATTGAAGGGTGGCAGAAGGGCAAGAGACTGAGAAGGAAAGACTGAGCGAGTGGTTGGGGGTGAGGGGAGACTGAGGAAGGAGTGGAGTTGGTGGGGGTGGGGGAACACTGAGGAGTGTGATGGGGGAGATCTGAGAGGAATCTGGGGGTGTGCTGGGTGATGACTTGGGTGGGTGGGGTACAGACTGAGGGGAGTTGGGGATGGGTTGGTGATGGGCAGGTGGGGATGGTGGAAGGACAGGGTTAGGACTGAGGAGCAGGAGACTGAGGGCCATGAAACAATACAAATCTGAAATGAAAAGAATTGTTGAGCTAGGGGGAAAAGGCAGGAGAGTGGGACTTCATCAACTGTTCTTGCAAAGAGATAAGATGGGCCAACTGACCTGCTCCAACGTCTGATTATCTAATGCCCTTGTTTTCCAGCCAAGGTGGAGCAGGTGAAGTTTGATGCCATGGAGATGCATGCCAGGCCTGAGGTAGCGGCCCGTGAGAGGATGGTGGATGATGGCTCTGGTGAAGTAGAGGTACCCTTGTACCTTCCCACATTCACACATGGTCTACTCGGCCGCCTTTTCAAATTCTCTTTCCTGTGTTTGAATCCTTCAGTGGCCTCACCTTCTCTCTGAACCCCCTTTTGGCCCTCGGATCTCTGCTGTGTTCTCCACCCACCAAGCCCCGAAAAATCCTCATCTTTATTCATCACACCACTGACACTGTGCCTCCTCGGCATCTAGGTTCTAAGCTCTGAAATTCCAACCCTCTTTCTCTGCAACTTATGACACACACCTTCAAACTAAATACTTTTGCTAATTACAGCTCGGGAACAGGCCCTTTAGCCCACCTTGTCTGCACTGACCATGATGCCTTTCTAAAATAATCCCATCTTTCTGTATCCCTCTATTCCCTGTCTGTCTAAATGTCTCTTAAACATTGCTGTTGTATATGCTTCGACTACCTCCCCCTGGCAGCATGTTCCAGACAACAACTACCCTCTGTGTTTATTTAAAAAAAAAAAATTCCCCTCACATCCCCTTTAATCTTTCCCCCTCTCACCTTAAACTTATGCCCCCTAGTACTTGACATTTCCACTTTTGGGGGGAATAACCATCTAGATATCCACCCTATCCATGTCCATCATAATTTTATATCCTTCTATCAGGTCACCCCTCAGCCTCGGATGTTCTAGTGAAAACAATCCAAGTTTGTCCAAACTCTCTCCTTACAGGTAGTACACTCCAATCCAGACAGCACCCTGGTAAATCTCTTTTGCACCCTCTACAAAGACTCCACATCCTTCCTATGGTATGGTGACTATCCAGGACAAAGCAGCCCACTTGATCTGGCACCATATCCACAAACATCACTCCCTCCCCCATCGACAGTGGCAGTAGTGTGTACTGTGCAGAAAATCAGTTCCTTTGACAGCACCTTCCAAACTCGTGATCACTTCCCAGAAGGACAAGAGCAAAAGGTACATGGGGACAAATGTATCAAGCACTCCCTCCAAGCCACTCAACATCTGACTTGGAAATATATCACTGTTCCTTCATTGTTGCTGGGTCAGGATCCTGGAATTCCCTCCATAAGGGCATTGTGGGTCAACCTACAGCACCAGCACTGCAACAGTTCAAGAAGGCAGAGATAGTAGGAACTGCAGATGCTGGAGAATCTGAGATAACAAGGTGTAGAGCTGGATGAACACAGCAGGCCGAGCAGAAAGGCTGACGTTTCGGGCCTAGACCCTTCTTCAGCAGTTCACCCACTTCTGGAGGACAATGTGGAATGGGCGATGTGGTCCTGTCAGCTACACCAACATTTCCTGAATAACATTTTTTAAAAATTCAAAGGTACTATTATAAAAATAAGGTCTTGTCTTGTCACGATCACAGGTCTCAACACTGGCACATAAAAAGATCTAGTGAAGAAGTTTTCAGTCTGTGAATACCTGGGACAAGGGTAAAAGACTGAGGTTGTTTCCCAGCTCTCTGGATCGGCCAGTTTGCAGGAACAGTATGGGAATTGTTTAGATTTCACTTTTTGTTTTATTTGGCCACATTTCCATTCCTTCCCTCTGTCCTCAGCAGCACCACTCAGCCTCCAAAACAATCTGATTTTAGATGGACTGTGGCCTGAAGTTCCTTGCAATGAAGTCAGCACCTTTTATGATGCTGAAACCCAGATCCTGCAGGTGGGGGGGGTGGGGGGATCACTTGTCTAAGAAGCAGCAAACTTGGGAATGTTGAGCTTGTCCGATGTTCAATGTCTGACTTCAACTGGCCTGATGTGGAAAGGTGCTGAATCATTTTCCCTCTTTCCTTAAACTCTAGACTCTTTGTAAGTAATAGCCTCCCTCTGGTATCTTTGCTCAAAATAAACTTTTAGGGGCGATTGTACCATTACAACACTATCACTGGATTAGTAATCCAGGAGCTCAGGTAATACTTTTGAACATGGCTTCAAATCCCATCACAGCAGCTAGTGGAATTTTTTAAATTCCTACCAACAAGGAGCAGGATTAGGTCATTCAGCCCCTCTAGCCTGCTGCACCATTTAATAAGATCTGACTAACCACAAATCCACATTCCAACCTCCCTCTGATTAACCTCTCACTGTCTCTTATCAAGAATCTATCTGTATCTGCCTTTTTTAAAAAAAAAAAAAAATTCTGCTTCCACCACCTTTTTTTCAGGGAGAGAGTTCTAAAGACACTCAACCCTTGAACAGAAATAAAAATCTGCCTCACCTCTATTTTTAAAATGGGTGACCTCTAATTTTAAACAGTGACCCCTAATTTTTAATTCTCCCAAAAGAGGAAACATCCTTTCAATGTCCATCCAGTCAAATCTCCTACGGATTGTGTATGCTTCAATCAAGTTGCCTCTTGCTCTACTCCAATGGATACAAGCCCAGCCTGTTCAACATTTCCTCATAAGATCATCATCCCTCCACCAACTCCCACCCCCATTCCAGGTATTAGTCTAGCAAACCTCCTCTGAACTGTTTCCAATGCATTTACATCCTTCCTTAAATAAAGAGACCGATTCAGGTGTGATCTCATCATAATCTCCCTACTCCTGTATTCACTTCCCCTCATGATAAAAGATAACATTCTACTATCTTTCCTAATTACTTGCATTCTCGTTCTTTCTGTGATTCATGTGCTAGGACACCCAGATCTCACTAGTTAGATAACGTGCTTTCTGTTTTTATTTCAATCATTTACTATGGTTGCTGTTAACTAGGAGTGATATCACCGTGACATCATTCATCATATTTTGTTACACCATATCAGGGAAAGCCTGCTCTCTCTGTGGTTCCGGAATGTGCTGTTCCATGAAATTAATCCAAAAACCTTATTTGAACTCTGTATCTAGGCCACCTTTTTTGCCTTTTTCTGATGAAGGGTCTAGGCCCGAAACGTCAGCCTTCCTGTTCCTCTGATGCTGCTTGGCCTGCTGTGTTCATCCAGCTCTACACCTTGTTATCTCTTTTTTGCCATGTGACTTTTCTAGTTAATACAGATTAAAATCCCCCATTATTATCACTGTCTTTCTGACAAGCTCTCATTATTTCTGCCTTTGTGCTCCATGTGGGCACTGTCAGGAGGCTGGTACACCACTCCCATGAGTGACTTCTTGTCACTTTCATTTCATTTCTACCTAAACCATTTCTACCTCCGGCTTCCTGACCTTTGATCATCTCTCTCTAATTTGCTAATGCCATCATTGAATAATAGAGCTACTTTTCCACCTTCTGTATTAGCTTTCTAAAGCTCCTGTTCTCTTCAGTGTTCAAGTACCAACCCATGTCATGCTAACACTTATATCATACTTATTTATTCTATTAACAATTCTGGAATCGGAAGTTAGTAACAACATCATAAATTATTAGAAAAATCCATCTCGTTATCTAGTTTCCCTTTTAGGGAAAAATCTTTCCTCCTTTACCTGGTCTGGCAAACATGATGACTCCAGACCCACACTGATGTAGTTGTAAGTTCCCTCAGAAATGGCCCTAGTGAGACACTCAGTTTTGAAATATTAGCCTCGGATGCCAGCCACTGTGGTTGAGGTCGTTCACTGCCACCACTCCTCTACTCATTTCAAATAAACTTTAACCAAGTTTACAGCCCCTCATGAAATGAAAATCAAAAAGGTTGTCAGAAACTTATCAACATTGAATTGAAATGTCATTACTAGAGGGGAGGATGCACTCCAGCCCCTGTGGTGCCCACCAGTCTCTAAAGATTGTGCCAATGGATTTGCATGATCCTTCCCCATGGATATCAGAGCATGGGCACAACCACACAAAAAGGGCAGGCAGTTGGGTGAATCCTCCTTTCTATGGAGTAAGAACTTACTTAATTACCTGTAATAGAGGACAGTTGGCCAGTGAGTCTTAATGAGAAGAAGCAGTTGCCTTGAGTATTGAATAGGTCCAAGTAACATTTACTGATTTGGCACTTTTACAACTATCAGGAGCCAGAGGTGCTCCATCTGTCCCGACTGGGACCTTGTGCTATACTGCCTGACTCTCCTCCAATGTCTGTGTGACACCAGTGAATTGGGTGGAGCTAGTGCAACCTCAACATGAACTCTCTTTCAGAAGCATTATCTTGTGCTACAGCTCCCCTCAAGCTTTTCCTTCTCATTTAACATTTACACATTCAGGTATATAACTATTTTTACATTTTACCACTGGCCCATCTTACCATTTTAAGGTATATTTAAGGGGTAGGAGGTTTAGAAGGGACATGAGGAAAACATTTTTCACTCGGAGGCTGTTTAGAATCTGGAACTCACTAAGGGTGGGAGAGGCAGAAATCGTTTGTGGATAGCCCTTAGTAAAGTGACTAAGTTAGTTCAGCAGTGTGTGATGCCAGGGGAGAACACTGATCATCCAATAGAGAAGACCAAATAATATTAAAGTTAGCTCCTTGCCACTAGGACAGTAAGACCCTGTGTCTGAGACTAACTAACTGTGTGCGCCCTATAAATCAAGAAGGAAGCTGAACCTAACCTTGTAGTGAAACTGAAACTAAAACTCCCTCTCCTTTTCTCTTTGCTATAACTAAACTGATCTGTTCTCAGGTATGGATGATTGAGAATCTGGAATTGGTCCCAGTGCAGAAGCACATGCTTGGCCATTTTTACAGTGGAAACTGCTACCTGATTCTATACACCTACACTGTCTGTAACAAGATTCACTATCTCCTCTACATCTGGCAGGTTTGTATTACTCTGGACTCCTTGTAAGTTAGACTTAACCTGGGAGTGGTGAGCAAGCTGGAATGTAATAAAGGCAAAATACTGCCGATCTGATATCAAAACAGAGTGCTGGAGAAAAGGCTTGTCCAGCAGCATTTGTGGAGAGTGAGATATGGAGCTAATCTGAGGCTTTTGAAGGGTTTGCAGTATAGAATAGCAAATACCGAGTGAGCTACAGGCTGGATTAGTCAAGTGATTTGGGTAATTGTTGTATTGGATGAGAGTGAGTTTCGGACTGGAACCTAATCAAGGGGGTTTTGGGATTTTAGATATAGAAAATCACAGATCTCCAGGAGTGTTTAAAGACTGGAATCTCAAGGGGTTTGAGGGAATTGGAGGATGTTGGTAATTTTGAGGGTACAGACTAGGCATTGAGCCTAAAAGGTGCAGAGCTGGATGAACACAGCAGGCCAAGGAGCAGTAAGGCTGACGTTTTGGGCCTAGAGCCTTTTTTTTCTGATGAAGGGTCTAGGCCCGAAACGTCAGCCTTACTGCTCCTATGATGCTGCTTGGCCTGCTGTGTTCATCCAGCTCTGCACCTTGTTGTCTCAGATTTTCCAGCATCTGCAGTTCCTACTATCATTGAGCCTAAAAGGCCTGTCTTTACTGGGCTGCACTTATTTTCCTTACAATCATCCTCCAGAAAATAAGCAAACTCCCACTACAACGTCACCTCTGAGGTGTACGAACCCAGTGCAGGCAAGTTCTGCTCCGTCAATGGCCCCAAGCAGGAGAGTAGATCTCTCCAAGAGAGGAAGACAAAGTTAGGGTAATCCCCCAAAATTGTTAAGGAGAGTCTAGGGAGGAGGAGAGAAATATCAGATTAAAGGAAAAAACAAACTTTTTTCTAAATTTCTTTTGAATGTTTTTCATGATTTTAGAAAAAAATCTTAAAACAGAGTACAAGTTGCTGGATTAATTGTGGTATAACCTCCAGAAGTAGACCTAACCAGAGTTGGACACTGCAGAGTAGAGAGTGCAGTCTTAGTAGTTCAGGAGCCAGCTGCTGTGCAATGTTTAAACTGGTGCGTTTATATTGCTGAACTTAAGTAAAGTGACATTGCAAACTGGTCATAGCTTCTGGAGAGCAGAAACACATTGGCATTACTGAGGAATTAAATGATTAAATCATAATTTGGCAGTACTGAACTTGAGTATTTCTCAAAGCGTTTCATCTTACACTCATCAGTGTAATTTGCAAGAAAACCAATACTTACACCACATATGTGCCCATTTCCATCAGTGCTCTTAAGGCCATTCGGCCCTTTGAGACAATTAAGCACCATCATGGCTGATCGCCAACCTAATTCCACACATTACCCTGCCTTGTTCCATGTCCCTAAATATGCTTGAATCTCAAAAATCGACTAATCTCTGATTTTTAAAACTTTCAATTGACCCAGAATCAACTACGGTTTGTGGGAGGCAGCTTCAAAAACTCGACCGGTTTTTGCTTCAGAAGTGACTCTGAATTACACCTCTGAAAGATCTGGCTGAAATTCCTGAACAACAGCCCATAGTCCTAGACTCTGCAACCAGTAGCTTCTCTCGTGTTCCCCTTAACACCTCCTTAAAATTCATCAAATTACCCCTCAGTTTTAAATTGTAGGTAATCCTCATTTGTGTAAAGCTTTGGGATTTTTCCAGAAATTGGAGATTAGGTTGAAAGTCGAACATGATTATACGGAATGATGGTATGATATCATTGTGGAATCAGGGATCTGTTCCTTTTTAAATGGCCCCCACTGTTGACCAGGGTTTGGTCTGCCTTCCTGATGTCACATAGATGTAGTGGTGGGCTTTTTTCTTTCCACAAGGTATTTGCTCCTGATGAGGGGATATTTACGTTGGCTGCTGTACCATATGGAGGAGACATGGGTAAGATCGTGCTGAAGGATTTGTTGAACTTTTATTATAGTTCCTGATCTCTACATCTAGAAGACTCTCGGGCACATGTGCCTGAGCTCAAGATAAGCAATTCAGATGTAAATTGTAGCACACTTTCTTCAGCATGTCCTGCTGCAGAGAGGATTCTGTAAGATGGAGAATGAGACATTTTTAACCATCAGGTCATGTGAATCATGAGCATATTCTTTCCGGTATGTTGCATGCTGGCTCTGCGCTGTAATGTAATAAAGGACAGCGTGGGCTTGAAGCATTATCAACTACTCTTGTTCATCTTATATTCTGGTGATATTTTTAACCAATGGTGTGACATGTGGGGCAAGTGAGAAGTTAAACCTTCTGGCCCAGAGATAGGGACATTACCACAGGAGCCTTTTCGTGTATTCTTACGTATTTTCTTAGTGAAGGGCATCTCGTGCTTCAGTGAAAAACTCAAAGTTCATTTTCACCGGGTTTTCCTACTCTTATTTTCTTCCAGGGTACCCATGCCAGTCAGGCTGACATTACTGCCTCAGCCTATCAGGCCGTTCACCTTGATCAGAGCTACAATGGAGAACCTGTTCAGATCCGAGTGACGATGGGGAAAGAGCCACGACACCTGATGGCCATTTTCAAAGGCAAACTTATTGTTTTTGAGGTAATGTGGTGAGTTTTGTGTGTGTGTGTGGTGGGTCTTTCTGTGACAAGACAGCCCAGAGGCAGTGTGTCTGTTGAACGTCCACTTTGCACCTTCCCTGCACACCCACTCCCCAAACTGACTTCTAACCCCACAAAGCCTTATGCCATAAAGACATGTATAAGGAATGAGCTGCCAGAGGAAGTGGTGGAGGTGGGTACAATTACAATATTTAAAAGGCATATGGATGCGTACATAAATAGGAATGGTTCAGAGGGATATGGGCCAAATGTTGGCGAATGGGATTACATTAATTTAGGATATCTGGTTGGCATAGACAAGTTGGATTGAAGGGCCTGTTTCTGTTCTAAGTCTCTCTCTGGGACACTCTCCGGGACTCTCTCTGGGACACCCACAGCTTCTGCTTCAGCTCCAGCAGTAGCTCATTGAATCTGGAAATGAAAATTCTGTGACAGTGACCAAGAAACTAACATTGACCCTTTTTTTTTCAAAAACAAGTCCATTGCCAGTCATGGCAACATCCCCTAAAAGATTTAAAAAATGTAAAATGAAGCTCCTCTGCTGTAGGGATCATGGAATATTGGTTGTTTCACTGGGGTTGTAATCCAGAGCCCCCCAAGGTAATGTTCTGGGGACATGGGTTCAAATCCCAGCACAGTCAATGGTGGAATTTAAATTCTATTAATAAATCTGGAATTGAAAGCTAGGTTTAGAGATGGTAACCATGACGATCATATCAATTGTTATAAAAAACATATCTGTTTTGTTGATGGATGGCAGGAAATCTGTCATCCTTACCTGGTCTGGCCTACATGTGACTCCAGACTCAGTCTCTGCCCTCTGGCTTCATCAGCCATTGCAATCAGTTCAAGGGAAATTGGGGATAAGCAACAGATGCTGACCTTGCCAAAGACACCCACATCCCATGAAAGAGGGGGGAAAAACCCCTAGCTTATGCCTTTTTTGCCACTTGTGGGTTCAAACTGTTCCAGTATGTTCCTGGTCAATATCCCATGGTCCATTTAAATGTCAGTTTATTACAAACTTTCCTGCCAGTATCCCGTCCCATTGTGCCATCATGCACCCCCAGCTCCACTCCCCAACCCTTGTCTTTGTTGACCTACACTGGTTCCTAGATCCTCCAAAGGTGAGACCACACTTGCTTTACCTGCAGAACTCTGTTCCTTTTAGAGTGGGTGTCTATTTTGAAGGAAGTTACAATGATGATACCCATTAAGCAAACTTGAACAGTTTGTTTTTTTTTCCCCCTCTGTAGCAAAGAGAAGGCTGACCTGATGGAGATATTGCCTGTAAGGGCTGGGTTATTTGGCTGGGTGCAAAGCAGGGCTAAGGGGCGGCTCAGTGGTTAGCACTGCTGCCTTACAGCGCTAGGGACCCAAGTTCAATTCTAACCTTGGGCAACTGTCTGTGTGGAGTTTGCACATCCTCCCCATGTCTGTGTGGGTTTCCTCTGGATGCTCTGGCTTCCTCCCACAGTCCAAAGATGATCAGGTGAGGTGAATTGGCCATGCTAAATGCAGGGTTAAGGGGATAGTGTGGGTCTGGGTGGGATGCTCTTCTTAGGGTGTGGTGCAGACTCAATGGGCCAAATGGCCTCTTACTGCACTGTAAGGATTTTGGGATTCTATGAAAAACCAAATTTTCATTTGTGGGTGAGATCGGCAGGGGCCATCAATAGAAGATAACCAGAAGGTCAGCTTTTTTGCTCCTCTCCAGTTGCCCCATGAACTAAGTGGTTTGTTCTGCCATTGCAGAGGGCAGTTAAGAGTCAACCCCATCACTGGGTCGGGAGTCACAAGTAGGCCAGACCAGGTAGGAATGGCAGATCTCCTTCCATCCATTAATGAAGCAGATATATTTTTACAACAATTCATGACATTGTCATGGTCACCATCACTAAACCTAGCTTTCAACGTGATGTTTATGACAAACCATTTTTACAAAGACAGTGGTAAGACTGTGGAGTGCAGTTGAGGTGAATAAGACAGATTTATTTAAGGAAAGAAATGAATAAATACAAGGAGGAAAGGAACACAAAATGTGGAGGATAAACGCCACCGCCAATCTGTTGGAGCTGCAGGCCTTTTTCTGTGCTGTAATCACGAGGTGACCTTTCATTGTCACCGGGCAATGTCTGGAATTCTCTTCCTACACTGTAGGTGTCCTTCCACCACATGGGCTGCAACAGTTCTATAAGGCAGCCCATCAACACATCACCAGAGTGACTGGAAATGGGCACAAATACTGGCCAAAGGTGAGAATTAATTGTACAGTAACTTCCCAGAAGAAGAGCCAGTGGACGTGATCTAATTGGATTTCCAAAAGGTCTTTGACAAGGTTGTGCACAGGAGGCTGCTAAATAAGATAAGAGCCCATGGTATTAGGGGTAAGGTACTGGCATTGATACAGGATTGGCTGACTGGTAGAAGGCAGAGAGTGTGGATAAAGGGGTCTTTTTCAAGATGGCAGCCAGTGACTAGTGGAGTTCTACCAGGTCAGTGTTGGGTCCACAGCTATTCATGTTATACATTAATGATCTGGATGGAGGATCGTGGACATGGTGGGGAAGCGGACAAAGAAGTTGCAGATGCAATGCAAAGTGTGAGGTTATGTAGTTCAGTAGGAAGAATAGAGGTTAAACTATTCTCTAAAAGGGGAAAGGCTTTGGAAATCTGAAGCATAAATGGACTTAAGACTCAGCAGGTGGGTGAATGAGGGTGAGAAACATCAGCCATGATAGAATGCCAGAGAAGGCTCAATGGGCCAAATGGCCTGATTCTGCTCCTGTACCTTTTGTGGTCTAGGAAGCAGTGAATGTCTAAGCAGATTGCCATCCTGTCCTCTGAGTAAAACCTGGTGTTCAGGCTAGCCCCAAAATGATGCCAAATGTCCAATGTTGGTCAGTACCAGCTCCAGGAACAAGTGATTGCAGATCAAGATGAATGCTGACTCTCTTAAACCTGAATTGTTTGCCCATATGACCCAAGGTTGGGGTTCCACTCCAGCTATTGTGACGTCTGTTCCAAGGTTGATGTTGCAGTTGATTGTGTCTGAGCCAGTTCTACCTGTTGGAATAATGGGTTGGCTTTCTGGGATGTACGTGACAATTCTTGTATTTTGCAGGGGAATGCCCCCACGGATGATAACCATGAGAGCGAGGCCTCTGTCTGCCTCTTTCAGATTCGTGGTGAGAGCGAGTACAATACCAAGGCCTTTGAAGTCCCAGCACGTTCTTCCTCCCTTAACTCCAACGATGTCTTTGTGTTGAAAACGAGCGAACGGTGCTTCCTATGGTTTGGGAAGGTGAGAACTCTTCAAAATCATTGGGCAGCACCACTGGGATCCAGTAACTAATCGTATGCTTCCCTTGCAATGTGCTGTAATCCACTCTGACCACAAGCTGAAGCAAGTTTACAACATGGCACGCTGGCCTGTAAATGGGTTGGGGTGTATAATGGGTAAAGGGGGAGAATTCAGAATTACTGAAACAACCGGCCTCATAGCTGGATATAAAAGTAGCTAAGGCCACTGAAGGGCTGTGGAAGCTCAATCATTGAGTATTTTGTAGTGATTGTAATGAGGTCAGTCAGGTGGACCTCATGGAGTATCTATCTCATGGGCCAGATTAACAGCCCCAATCAGAGAGCCCTGGCTGACAGATCTGAAAAGGAGTTTCAGATGTTCTGCTCACTCAGCGAGCTGACTGAGGAAGCTGGATCAGTGTCAGACTCTCCATGTATAAATAAAGAGTGACTTGGTGACAGTATACCAGTCTCTATGGTGTTATTTCATTGTTCAAGACACATTTCCAGAGGCTAAAGGCATTTGCATGTGAGAGAGGGAGTGAGGAAAGTGGCATTGAGGTAGATGCTTAGCCATGATGTAATTGAATGGTGGATTAGGTTTGAAGGGCTGAATGGCCTATATTCTGAAAAGGTGGGAGAAGGAGGGAAAAGTTTTTTTTTTTTTTTTTTGTCTGTCTGCTCTTTATGACTCTTTTTTGTGTTGCAGGGATGCAGCGGTGATGAGAGAGAAATGGCTAAGAATGTGGCTGACACTATCTCCAGGAGGGACAAGTGGAATGTGTATGAGGGCCAAGAGCCGGCTGAGTTCTGGGTATCCCTTGGAGGGAAAGCACCATATGCCAATAGCAAAAGGTACATCCCCTGCTGAAGGAAAGGCCAGTCTGATCATAATTGGCAAGTGGCTTCGAAGGAATCATGCTTTTTGTTTGCATTCATGCTCGCACTGTGCTTATGACACTTCACTCAAAGAACAAAGACTAGTACAGGGACAGGCCTTAGCGAAATTTTGTAGCTTGGGTTGTGGATGTAGTTGTTCACTTGCCCACCGAGCGGGTTGTTCCGTGGTGTGCAGATGTTTCATTACCATTCCAGGCAACATCATCAGTGCGACCTCTAATCAAAGCGTTAGTGTTCTGCTCCGTTCCAAATTTATATGATCCTCTGGTGTGGTGGGTCTTGTCATTTCCAGTTCTGTTTTGTTTAGCAGCCGTCTGTATATGGGGTGTATTTCTGTGTTTCTTAATGGAGCTCTGTGTTGAGAACCAGGCTTCTAGGCCCTTCAGCCCACCAAGCCTTTGCTGACCCATGCCACCTCTCTAAACTAAAAACATTCTGCGTCTACACAGTTAGTATCCTTTTATTGCCTGCCTATTCAGGAGCGTCAGAGGCTGAGGTGTGACCTTATAGAGACTTATAAAATTATGAAGGGTGTGGATAGGATGAATAGCCAAGTTCTTTTCCCCAGGGTAGGGGAGTCCAATACTAGAGGGAATAGGTTTAGGTGAGAGGGGAAAGATTTAAAAGGGACATAGGAGCAACTTTTTCATGCAGAGGATGATGTGTGTATGGAATGAGCTGCCAGAGGAAGTGATGGAGGCTGGTACAATTACAGCAGTTAAAAGGCATATGGATGCCTATATGAATAGGAAGGGCATGGGCCTAATGCTGGCAAATGGGGCTAGATTAATTTAGGATATCTGGTCAGCATGGATGAGTTGGACCGAACTCGGGCCAAAGGGTCCGTGTTCATGCTGTACATTTTTGACTCTATGTATCTATCAAAATGCCTCTTAAACACCGTGTTCTTGTATCTGTCTCCTCCACCACCTCCTTTGGCAGCGCATTCCAAGCACTTACTACCCTCTGTTTTCAAAAACAAAATTTGCCTTTCACATTTTGCTTAATTGTTTCTCTTTTTATCTTTAAACGCATGTCCCACTAGTAACTAACATTTCTGCCCTGGGGAAAAGACTCTGACTGTCCATTCTATCCGTGCTTCTCATAATTTTGTAAACTTCTATCAGGTCGCCACTCAGCCTTTGGTTTGTTTTCACTTGAATGTCAATTTTGTCCAATCTCTCCTCATGGCTAACACCCTCCAAACCAGGCTACATCCTGGTAAAACGAGATAACTAGGTGTAGAGCTGCATCAGAGGACAGGAAAACTGACGTTTCAGGCCTAGACCCTTCTTCAGAAATGGGGGAGGTGAAAGGGGTTCTGAAATAAATAGGGAGAGAGGGGGAGGCGGGGAGAAGATAGGTGGAGAGGAGACAGACAGGTCAAAGAGGCGG